CACTGCTTTTATAGCACAATCTGATATAAAAATGGAAGTACTGCATCAGCCATACTCAGTTGGGAATTTATGTTGTAGAAGGTCAATTTGAGAATATTTGCTTATATCAACCAAATCTCTAGTCTAATACTTACCTCCTGAAGACAAAAATAGGTATCTTTTTAACAGTTTCATCCCAGATTGAAAGCTAGAAGAGCTGGTTTAAGTACTACAACTTTGTCCTAGTGTCTATGACTTTGTGCTTGAATTATATCAAACTAAAAATAAAAAACTACAGCCCTTTAAACAGCTGCAAGATTTCCACAATCCTGGGATAGTATATCCCAGTAATATGGAGAGATAAAACATGGTCATTTTAATTTTAATATATTAATATCTCAGAAAATATTTTTCTAGCAAATGTATAATGTACAGTTCAAGATGTTCATTAAATAATTAGAAAAAAAATTAGGGTAATATAGTTGAACCGTAGATAAGTTTTATAATGTAACAAAAAAAATTACACATTTACTCTCTGATAACAAACCATGCAGCACTACGAAAGAAGAGGAAATTTTAGCCATTGTTCTTGTCCAACTGAGATGTCCTTTTCCAGTATCCATGACTTTGAAATCATGAGAAACATGGCAACTAGCTTTCTTTCTAAGGCCTATTAAAATTTAAGGCATTTTTCTCACTTATTTAATCATCTCAGTTGTGTTCCAGTATGTGCATAATTCTGGAAGGTGAACTAATATTGCCCCTCTATTTAGCAGATGAGAAACCATGAAATATTACAAGTCATTTATAAAGGAATTTATGTACATAAACCCCTAAAAGTTAAGCATGAGAATTTCTGAACACTGCCTATGGGCATCACTCTTATCTATAATTTGCCTAAGTTATCACAACATGTAATTGTGAAAGTGGCCATATGAAAATAATGACTGGAAGTCTCTAAGAGATTACAGCAGGAGGTTGCACATCAAATAATAACTGTTGGAGAGGTGAGTTGTGGAATTTCATAATTTCCCTAGAGAAGTCAAGAGCAAAAAAAGAGACAAGGACAAAATGTTCAGATGTTTACTTGGGTGAGATTGAAGCTCTATTTAAAAAAGAAAAGAATAGCCTCTCCTATTTTTAGGAAACTAGGAAAATTACTTATCAGATGATCTGAATGCATAAAATCTAAATTTAGAAAACCACTTGAAAAGCGGCAGTCACAAGATATTTTGTGTAAAGCTTATTTTTTAATCTCTTGATTCATTTCTGAATGACACTTTAAAGAATTTTTTTTATACAAAATAAAATGTTTGAACACTCAGATATAAATAATATAAATATTAAAATGTTCTTAAATCCCATTTTACCTGTCAGAAACATAATTAAATTCAAACAAACTGGGTGGAAATTAAAATTTATTTGACTTAAAATTGCACAAGCTGAGAAAATACTCCAGGATACGAGGATTTACATCCCATGAGATATCACTCAGCTGAAAAATCTGCCCTGAAAATTTTGTGGAAAAATATTTATCTTTCTCATCTGTTTTTAGAGTAATCCCACATTAAACAGAATTTGAGGTACATATTCCATCTGTTACTTTCCTAGCATTTTGAGGACAACACTAAGGTGAAAAATCTCTGACATAATTTCTTCCATCCACTCCCAGAAGATGTAAAGTTTTCTATTACACAGAAACAAAGAAGGAATCTCACAGCTGTTAGGCTTTCAAACCCCACTATTTCTTCTGGAACATAAACTTTAAGACACTCTCTTAATAAAAAGTAGTCACTCTGCTTTCTTCCTAGAGAAAAAATCTAAACTGCCTCTCACTTAAAAGAGAGTGTGCTCATTTCTTTCAGCCTCATGCTACCTGTGAGGAAAAAAAATGCTGCAGAGAAGTAGGTTTAGTATTGCCCAGGTGCAAATCATAAATAGAAAGAGAAGTCCTTGATAATCTGGAAATCAAACCCCCAGACAAGCAGAAGAAAAAACTTTGCGAGAAGAGAACTGTCACAGCTGGAGATAATTATCAAATCGTGCACTTAGACGTTTTGTGCAGCAGTATCTGGGTAAGAAAGTGATGTGAAGAATGGTCAAAGCCAGTCCTACTTGCAGCACCCACGAAGTTTGAAGTGCAGACTGTATACCTGAGAGCATTCTTGCTGATTGCCTATGATTCACCACGCCAACCAAAAAAGCACCTGAGAAGAAAAGCAGTTGTCTCAGAAAGAGAGTGCAGCAAAACTGCTCTGATGACTCCCAAGTACCTCTCCTTCACTGTCTACTGATGTGTGAATTGTTTCACTGACTTAAAAAGGGCATGAATCAGAGTGGTGGAAAGGGCTGTGGGATGTCTTATTTGTGCGGTGTCAGCAACAATACACTCATGAGGAAGAAAAAATGCATACATAATATTGGCAGTCTTGGTTGATGATAAGTTATGCAATAATTCGAGGTGACAAGTGACAACAGATTGACCCAACTTGTTCCTGCTCCTTCCTGCTCTAAGAAATCCAGAGTCAAGATGCAAAAGACATTTTAAAGTTTATAGTAAGGTTTATAAATTACTAAATAGTAATGTGATCGTTATCTGAATTATCTGAAGTTGACAATGGCAATCTCCCTGAAACAACAAGAAAGGATATGTAGATTCCTTCCAGCTCTTTTCCCACGTAATCGATGAATTGTCTGGGCTGCATATTCACAGTGACAAAAGGGTAGGATCTGGGTAGATTAGTACTAAAAGGAGGGTATTTTTAGTAGAGAAAGAAATAAAATTGTAGGAGTAATGAAGCAGGAAATTCCAAGTTTGATGGCTTTGCCCACTTGTTAAGCCTCATCATATTCCTATATTGAACATTTTTCAGGTAAATTCAAATGGTAAAATTTCATCACTAGCCCCTGGCTATTGGGAAAAAAAGGCTAAGGAGTATCCATGGAAATCAACATTTCAAGTTGCCCATGTTCTTGGTCTTTTTCCATGAAAATCAAAGGCCAAATAAAGAGTGCTGAGTTTTGAAACAAACATCCACTCTGATTATTTGCAATAAGCTGGTCAGACCGTGTCAGAGACAGCTTAGGTACAAAACACAGTCATCAAGGCACTAAGGAATGTAAAGCCTGCTTTAAAGAGGGACTGTTTTCTGAAGACCCTGCAGCCCAGTACAAAGCAAGATATTCATTTTCTGGGACACAAAAGAATAAAATATTTTGCTTGTTCTCCTTTATAATGTCACGATGTGAATTAAGCACAAGATGAACCACAACAAATAGGACAGTAAAACGAATTCTGTGTGAATCATATGCATGTAAAGGGATTGAAAGGAAACATATTTAACTATTTCCTTGAGTTCTAAAGGGAAGAAGCATTTCAGATCTTTAAGGTATCCCAGCAAGGATCTAGTCACATACATTGCTGGGATCCAATAATTAAACACAATGTCTTGATTATATATTCAGTGTAGCACAGAAGCAGAGTGATACTTTAAAAACAGTCCACCATCTATTTATAGGATCCATAAATGCCCATCGCATTACGTGGGCCCGAGTCATGTGAGATCACCCTACAGCTCCATGTTAGCATTTCCTCCTTTATGGTCTTTCATATACTCTTGTTAGGTTTTCAGAGAGCTACTTGTAAATATAAGTACCATATATAAAATATTAAACAGATGCTCAAGTGCACCTTGGGATGATGACTATGGTCTGGAATGACCTGTTTATGGGATGTGTGCCCACATTTCTGCTGAGTATCGCACTTGCAGTTTTTAGAATTGCATAGCTGAGAGTAAATCTTCATCATTTTATTTTCTTCATTTCCCTTCTAATCCCTTCCTCATAACTCCTTACCTATAGACACAAACCACAAAAACAGGGATCCTCACTAGTGTCTGTGTGTCCTACTTCCAAGATGCTACAAGAGAAACATAGGGAGGTGATTAAAACCAGAATAATTAGGGAAATTCATGTTTCTATGAGCAAATATTCTTCTTAGCATTTTGTCTCTGAGTTGTACACTAAAGAAAAACATGATTCAAAGTATTAGCACTACATAACAAGAAGTCAAGTATATAATTTCCCAGAGAATGTTTTACATATTAAAACAAACTAGTCCTGTGTAGAAGAGTCAACTTTCTTCCTTCATCACACTCAGATCCCCTTAAACATAAGAAAACCTGAAATCATGTATGAAAAAACTAAAATCAGACACATTGTCTTTTCCCTGATGGCAGAAGGGTGAACTGCAGCAGCAAATTGCCTTTATGATACCTAGCATAACAATATTATACTTTAGGTACTGTAATTTTTGGGAAATAATTCCAAAGGAAAGTAAGGACAATGTAGCATTGGTTTGAAATAAGCAAGTACCAAATAAAAGACAGTTTGTCAAGTTTAAGCTGTTATTTGTTAGCACCTGCAGGAACCTGCAGATCAAACCTAATCTATTAAAATATATCTGACAATCAGATTTACTTTTTCTTGTATTTAGAGATAGATTGTATGTTAAATTGGTTATTAAATCTTAATTTAATCTACCATGAATTTTAGGTTGGTGTACAAACTGGAAATAGTGTCTACAACCATATGGAAATATTTTTAATATCTTGTTCCTTATAAATTCTCAGCAGGTAAGATGTTATACAGATTACATTTTCCTTTACCCAAAACTGAGCAAGAAAATTCATTTTGTGTAGGGCTGACTAGTATCTAAGAGGCAGCAGATCTATAAATGAGAAAAACAAAAGAAGATATTAAGGAGGTAAACAATATAGCCTAAGATTATTTTCTTTTGCTCAGAAATTTTGCTGGAGTAATTTAAACCCCAGCAATTTCAGTTATTTCTATGAACTACTGTAATTGTATTGATTTATAGTTCTAACTTTCTCAAGTGAAGAAATAATTCTTTTATGTGTCATCTTTTAGATCTGTCAACAGCCCTTGAAACTGCTGATCCTATATCATCCTCAGTGGGCAGAAGTGCTCTGCAGTATGCACTGAAGCCCCTGTCCCAGATGCACACTTCCCAGCTGTTGGCTAAGATCAAGTGCATCATCTTTTCTTATCACTTTATTATCTGATACATCCTCAGCTCAAAGATTATATATTAAATGGATTTGGAAGGCAGGGGAAGGAGTAATCACTTCCTCCATCCACTTTACACATCAGCCCAAAAGTGTGGTTTTTCCAGCTCTTGTGGTTACATCGTGACTGCATGTCAGGATGGGATATTTGCACATAAAACCACCCTGTGCACTTTAGTCTTCTTTTAGGTGGATTCTAGATCTGTCATGCTTCCACAGATCTTCTGGTGATGCAGCCAGTGGCCACAACACCACTGCTCCACTGATGCAGCCACTGCAGCTATGCTTTCCATGGAGAACTCCTGAAATCTCAGTCGGAGACACAGGGCATATGGGGCAAGGTTTGTAACTGGGACTGCCCTTGTCCCTGCTGGTGTCATTCTTCCTAATTGACTGTCACACTCTCTCTAAAAAAAAATAAAAATAGAGCAGTCTTGATTTTACTGTTGACTGCACTGGTCTTGAATACACCTGTGAGTAGACCAAGGAAAGGATTTTTGTATTTCTCCCTCAGCACACCAAGTTCTCCTTTAAGAAAGTGAAAGAAGCCCTATAGCTTGTGAAATAAGATGTCAGTCCTTGCTGGATAAAAAAAAAACAACAAACATTGAACCTCAAAAGACCACACAGATTGGACTGAATGACAATTTGACCCATGTCTCTAAGTGAAAAATGACTGAATTTATTGCTGGCTAAGTCAGAAAATCCAGCAAAAGGAAAATATATATAATGCTTTTTAATGGCTACCTGGCAGTAAATTTGTATTTAAGCTATTCCATTGCCATTTGTCTTTATTTGATTAAGCCACCTGATTTATAAAACATGCCGGAATGCAATTTATGTGCAACAATATAATCCACCTAGTGGTCTGGTTTCCAGAACCACAAGGATAAACACTCTCAAATCATAAAGGCACTCTCAGTGCCAGATATCCATTTATAATGCCTGCAGAATGATGTCTCATCATCTCCGGTATGGAAACTGCCAGCTACTCTACCACAACCTCTTTCCAAACCTTTTAAAAGTAAGGAAAGCGTCCAAAACACAAAGGTATTTCACAGGATGGGAGAGATGTCCCCAGTGAAGCAATGTTATTCACCTTGAGTGAAGAAGACAACAGGAATACCACTGTGAAATCAGCACTGCTTTAAAAAGACAGCTTTGGAAATAACATTGGAACAAAAATGTACAGAATAACGTTGCAGAAATACTCCCTTGTACAAGATGACTCCAAGAAGTGGGTTCTTACTATAATCAGCCCTTTACAACTCATGTATCTCATTCCCATTCTGATATCTTGTTCTACCTGTAAGACTCCTGACTGGCTGCATGGACACACAAAATGGTGAGATCAGTCGCATTGCTGCTGCTAGAGATGGAACTGAAATAACTGCTGGAAAAAAATTGCAAAAGAAAACACACTGTCTGCCAAGACTGAAATCCTGAAGCACTGGAATCAGCCTCTCTTACCACTCCTCTCTCTCACCCTACAGTTGTCAAGGGCACTGAAAGACAAGATGAACCAGAAAGAATTTCACTATAGCTGGATTTCTTCAATCAGAGGAAAACCATTAATAAAATTCTTTACATATTATCACTCCAACTTAGATATATATATATATATATTCCTTCTGTATTAGTAGAAAATGTGAAAATTTAAACACTATTTCTTATGGACATAGGTGCACAAGAGAGAAAAGGAATTTCTTTGATATTACGGGTTTTATCACAATGATCTTGCTATATTATCATTTAATGGATAATCACATGCTACTGAACGAGCAAGCAAACCCCTTATGCACTGCATTTTATTTGTTTATTTTTTGAATGCCTAAATTCCAAGCAACAACTAGAGATGATTATTAAAAGAAGCTATTTCATTGCTTACTCATCTAATAAGTTGATTTTTCTCTTGTAGGAGAAGTTTTAAAATGAGAAAAATGTTCCAAAGAGAATAGTCCACAATATGAGCCAAATAAGAATTGGATATCTTACTTAGAGTACAGTACAGTCTCAAAGAGACTGGGTTTGTTTCATTACATGTTTATCTTTTATGTTTCGTAAATGATACAGTTTTATTTTCTTTTATTTAAAAATAAAAAATACAGCATACAGAACAAAAAGGGAGTTGCAAAAATGAAGCTTTCATAAATATGGTAGGATAAAATGAAAATCAGATTAAAGTCTGCAGACTGATTTTACTCATTGCTTTGATCAAAACTAAAAAAGTTAATTTTACTCCCTTTATCTGATTAATTGGAATCACCTACTGGTCAAGGGAGGAGATTGTTCTGCTGTACTCTGAGTTGGTGCAACCTCTCCACAAATCCTGTGTGCAGTTTTGGGCAGAGCAGTAAAAGAAAGATATAGAGCTATTAGAGAGTGTCTGAAGGAGAGCTACAATGAGGATGAAGGGGCTAGAGGCGAAGCCTTGTGAGAAGCAGCTGGGCTCACTTGGTCTGTTCAGCCTGAAGGAGACTGAGGGGAGACCCCATTGCAGTTACAGCTTCCTCATGAGGGGAAGGAGACGGGCAGACACTGATCTCTTCTCTTTGGTGACAGTGACAGGACTGAGGGAATGGCCTGAAGCTCTGTCAGGGGAGGTTTAGGTTGGATATCAGGGAAAAGGTTCTATGTGGCTGGGCACTGAACAGGCTCCCCAGGGCAGTGGTCACAGCACCAGCCTGACAGAGTTCAAACAGCTTTTGGAAAATGCTCTCAGGCACATGGTGTGGCTCCTGGGGTGGTCCTATGTGAGACCATGAGCTGGATGTGATGGTCCTTGTGGGTCACTTCAACTCAATATTCTATGATTCTAAATCTCTCACCAACTTTTTATGAAACTTTATTCCACTGAGCTGAGGGGTTTATTTCCTCAATTAAATCACTATTTATTTAAGATTCTTGTTCTGAGCAAGACTGTGTTTTTACTGCACTATACAAGCACAGAAGTACATACTTCCATGTTCTAAAAATGACAAACATAATCCTGCATTTAAAATGTGAATTCTGCCCATTTTTAAACGTTGCTTTTCAAAGAGTAGCATTACAATGACAACTAATCGCATTTTCATGACATCATAAGGTTGGAAAAAATGTCTAAGAGTCCAACTATTAACATAGAACCGCTGCAATTATTCTTCTCAATTGTTGGGTCTTCAAATCTGTGTAATTTGATAAAAGTGTGGGGCTTGGTCCACAAGACAAATCAAACCTGAATTATTTACAAGGTTTTATTAGTCACAAATTTGCCAAATTGATCTAATTCAGAATCAAGAGAATAAAATATGAATATTTCATATTGATAATTGATTAGTATAAAATAGGGAAACAATGCAATTTTGACTTTTCAGTGAATGTTGCTGACATTTTGTAGGTGCTTGAGCTTTTCCAGATAGATTTCTATAGCAAAGCCCTTGCTTTTGTATTTTAAGTCCCAATAATGTACTTATTAGCTTCTTCTAGGTCCCAGCTAAGTTACTTCTTTTAGTATGAAGAGTAAGTTTAGTCTCCTTCTAGAGATAGTAAAAGAAAGTATTTTAAATCACTCAAGAAGTAAAGAAAAACCATTCAAACACTGATATTTAAAATCAAATCTAGAGAAATTTTGGGTTCACAGTCTTCAGAGGCTTCTGTACCCAGAATTATTTGATAACACAGACTTTTCTGAATGGAAGAATCAAAATGTTGGGAAAATGACAGCATGTGAAGTACAATAAATGAAAATTTTGTGGAGTGCTTATATTCATTCCCTACTTATTTATGGGCACAAAAGAAAAGTGGAGCTGCAGACATCAAAATCAAGTGCAGTCTATTCTGGGAACCATTTATAGTGTAAGTAAAAGTATAATTAAATAATGACTTCATTTCAGCAGGATCCCATGATAAGAATCAATAGTCAGGCCACTGATCTTGCATTAATTTGGCCTCACATTGTCACTAAATCTTGTCACAGCCACACTTTCATGACACCCTGAATTAACCTCGACTATAATCCTCCCTTTAAAATAGAAGCTTTTTTTTACCTTCCCCTTTCCAAAGGCTTCAATGGCTGCTTCCTGAGATTAATGGTATTCAATGGTATTCAAAAGAATTCACAGATATGATATTCACGTGATATTCCATTTTAAAAGGTGTAACAGATGTAACAAGCCTTGCTTAAAAGTACCTTCCACATAGAACCATTAAACTAAATTCTCACATGTTTAACTTATCTGAGCCTTTGCTGAAAAACAATTTCCTTTTACTTTAAGCCTTGACTATTTTTTGGAAGTAAATACTGCATTTTGATTTCAGTCATAAATCATAAAAAGTGTTATTAAAAAAACAAAAATAGAGAGACACAGAGAAAATTAACTGAACATAAGTAACATACTGCAATATTACTTTTAAACTTGTGGCCCTGCTGGTAATGTGTATTTTTTTCATGTCAAAGAACCTGGTCTTCTCCAAGTCTACGATCAGAACCTGCAATACATTTTTCTTTTACTCAGGTTGTATTTGCTGCCTGAGACTTTCTGCTCTTGCAAATACAAAAGGCTTCCCATTCCTTACAACTCTTTACAGATTTGCTAAAAAATGAAATGCTTCAGAAAATTTTGTGGATACTATTTTATGGCTGTAAAACCATATGAATGCGAACATAAAGCAGCTCCCTGTCCAAATGATACAGTAGGATTTATGGAGAGACATCATTTTCACTTCAGGGTTTGTTAGGAAATGTGAAGCTACAATGAATCCTTACCATTCTTGAAATACAAAATGTGCTCTTTGAATCTTGTCTAAAGATATCATATTATGTAATTTCTTCTCTGGTGATACTTCATTAAATTGTACAGAAAACTCATTGTCCGCCCTCTCTGAAAAAGTCAATACAATAACTGGATCTTTTCATAGAATGAATAAGTTTCATATTCTTTGCTTTCCTGGAGGATTAAAGGCACTCTGGCTTTTGAAGCTCAGTGTGCCTTTGCTGCCTTCTTGGTCCAATATCCAGGCAGGGTCTTATCCTGCACATTACAGCTCACCTTTAGCCTGGTGCCAGAATTGTTCTCTCGAAGATACCGGATGGTTTTCTGTTTTTCACTAAGCAATGGCATAGCCAGATGACTGCCAAAAAGGTGCCTTAGTTTTTAGACTCAGCATTGCCCCTGAAGCTTCAGCATTCAGACTGTAGCAACAGGGCAGAGACAAAGGGAAATTGAAGACATTCATAACTGCTCTTTTATGTTCCCATATCTATGAGAAACCAGGAAGTGCAAAACCTGTTGATGTAATTTTTCACATCTAATGTCCATATCAAGGAACTCATGAGTTTTTTTCAATGGCTTGGTTTGGATGGGACCCTTGGATGGGATCATCTGTTTCCAAGCTCCCTGCCATGGGCTGGACACCTTTCACTACATTGGGTTGTTTGAAGCCCTATCCAGGCTTGCCTTGAACACTTTCAGTGTGTTCACCTGAAAGTGTGAACCACCCAGAAGTTCTCTGGCAAGTTCTCTTGTTCCAGTGGCTCACCTCAATCACAGTAAAGTCGTTCTTCCTTAGGTGTAATCTAAACCTACCCTTTTTCAGTTTAAAGCCAATCCCCTTGTGCTATCACAGGCCCTTGGAAAAAGGCCCTTTCCAGCTTTTCTGTGGGTCCCTTTTCAGTACTGCAAGGCAGCCCCTGTGTTCTCTTGGAGCATTCTCTTCTCTAGAGTAAGCAACCTCAACTCTCTCAGCCTGTTTTCTTATGGGAGATGCTCCAGCACTCTCATCATCTACCTGGCCATCCTCTGGACTTGCTTGAGCAGGTCCACATCCTTCCTGAGTTAGGATCCCCAAAGCTGGATACAGTAGTCCATGTGGGGTGTCCCAGGAACAGAGTAGAGGGGGAAAATTACTTCCCTTAATCTGCTGATCTCTTCTCTGTGATGAGAAGTGACAGGACCTGAGGAAATGGCATTAAACTCTATTACAGGAGGTTTAGGTTGAATATTACGAAAAGGTTTTTCATTGGATTCTTTTGATGCAGCCCAGAATGTGTCTGGCTTTCTGGGCTGTGAATGCACATTGCTGGCTCATGTTGATCTTCTTATCCACAAACACTCTGTGCTCTTCTCAGCAGAGCTGTTCTCAATCCATTCTCTGCCCAGCCCATATTTGTGCTTGGAATTGCCCCAACCCAGGGGCAGGACCTTTAACTTGGCTTCACTGAACTTCATGAAGTTCACACAGGCCCACTTCTCAAGCCTGTCAAGGTCTATCTGAATAGCATTCTTTCCCTCCCAGCATGCTGACTGCATCACTCAGTCTGGTGTTTTAACACAACCTTCTAATTAGTAGTACTATATTCCTTGTTAATTATATGTTTTGCTTTCCTAGATTCAAGATCACTCAGATATAAGAGGAAGCAACAGCTCAACCAGAAACTATATAAAATACACAACATTCTTCTTTTTTTAGAAAATCACTGCCAGACAAATCTGCACTTATTTCTGTCTTAATCTTCATTCATATGGATTAATGCCTGGGTTTTATGACCAAAGAAAAGGTTTATCCTTGTTACTTAACTGGACAATGGTTCTATAAAATTCAGTTTTAGAGGTTCTATAAAAGCATGATAGTGAGTAGTAAAGCTTAATCTACTCTACAGCATTATCTAACATCCATATAAAAACTTACGAAAGCATTAGGGAGAGTTGGAGTTGACAAGTCAGCTTTACAATGTGCTTTGTCCATTTTCTCATTGCCAGACATCCAGAAAAGGACAGGTTTTCTCAGTACTTAGCTGACATTCCATTCTTGTGATAGACAGACAGGGAAACAAAATAAAGCAAAACCAGATGACATTGACATAATGTTGATAAACTAGATTGCCTGCATTTTCATCTTTACAGCATCATGAAGAACCAAGCAAGAACAAAATGGATTTATCGCCACTAAAGAGGTACCACAAGAATATTCCAAAAGGTGCAATGAATCCAATTTTCTTTTTAGTTTTGATATTATTGTATAGTAGAGAAGATACAGACAGGGGGGTATACTTGTACACAGAACTGTGCTAAGACCTACAGAAAAATATTCCATGATCCATAGTGGCAGACTAACTACTTTTTTTTTTCTGTAAGCTAATGAGACAAAGCTAATATCTGCTTGTCCTTCATCCCATAATACACTTATTATAAAACCACTATTCAAATTACAGTCACATCTTATTAGACAACAGATGGTCTTATCTAAATTGGTTGGTTAATTCAGGTTCATGATTTTGTATTAATAAGTCACAACAATGAATCAAACCCTCCTAGAACTCTTTGTGAAGTCATCCATGTGTGGCAGCCAGTGGCTGTTATTCAGCAAGAAGCAACAAAGGGAAGGCCACTTGTACCAAATGAGTTACTTCAATTCCTCATGAACCCTCATTATTGTGCCCTTTAAATGCATTTCTTCTACCACTGATAGGCACCAGAGTCTATTTCCCCATTGTTATGTATACACTAGCTCCATGAAAAGCAAAAGAAGATGATTATAATAGGAAAACCTGTGAAACTGACATGATGTTTGACTTCTGCTTTGTAGAGGAGATTTATGCTCACAATAAAGATTTCATGTCAAACAAGCTTTTCTAAATATATAATAATTCTTCAGCTATAAACTTTCAGTTAACAAAATGTTTTTATAAAGATGAACAACAGACGCCTGACTACAATAACTTTCTGATTGTCATATATGGAAGTTAAAAGTTTTTGCAACATGCTTTCATTTTTAATCTGAGAATTTATGTGAAATTGAGCACAATAACTTATGCTTCATAAACTCTATTTTAAAAGTCACATCCTTATCTCCATTATACTTATTCTGCAGATACAAAACTGAATTACTCACTGAAGACAATATGGTGTAAATCTGCCCTTTTCCAGGAAACATTCAGGAAGGGTCTAATTTCCAGTGTCTCATAAGCTCTCCTTCCTGCAGTGCCTTTTTGCTTGTGGTCTGCAGATCAGGTTCTGAAATAGTTGTACCGGCTTCTTCACAGGGCTTACATACCTCTGGGGTCCCCTGTGAGAGCTAGAGCCCTCCTGCAAGCTAACATGCAGTTTCCAGTGCCTGGAAGCTATTTAAGGAGAGGTTTTCCTGTGAAGCAAGTACAGTAGCTGTATAAGCCGGCAATCCCTTCACAACCGCAGATTTAATAAAGCTGCAAGCCCATGATGGAAACCTAAGGCAAATGCTGCCAGAGACTGAAATGCCCCCAGTGCACAGCTGGCTCTTTGTATGCAGCAGCCAGTGTCTGGTTTACAGCATGAATTTGATGGCCATACTCAAACAAGACCAGCAATAAGCCTGGACTTTTCACACCTGAAGCAAAAAAACCCCCAAAAACCAGAGAAAAGCTAAGAGAAGAATTAGAAAAAAACCTAACAATTGATCCACCCAGAACTTCTGAGGCCTAGAAGTATTAGAATCCCAAGTGACAATATCTTCCAAGCCATTAAATATAACAGCTATGCCATATACACATACCAAAAATTACATCTCATAAGCATCCTGCGCAGAAGAGAAACAGCTGTAATGAAAGGGGACACGGGTTTTGAGAGAGAACTGCAACCCTGCTGGTAACACTTGCATGCTACAGGTGTAACAAGAAGTCCTCACACTCACAGAAGATGTAAACACCAGAAGCAACAAAGAGCTTCTAAGAATGAAATCCTGACTCATGTGAATTTGAGAGGAAGAAATCATGTGGCATCAAAGGCCAGAATACCAGGTCCATTTGGAAATTCACCTAAGCTGTTAAAAAAACGCTCTGCAGTTAAATAATTAAAGCAGAAGTCCCTCCTGAGTCAAATGGGAATAGATCCTGAGTACTGAAAAAAACAGTGCTGTTATTTCTTAAACTCATGAAGATGCACATTCCAACCACCTACATCACCCCCACCACATTTTTTTTTGGTGCAGTTACTGGTTTTCATTGACATAATAATTTATTTGCATTAGATTTCAGAAGTGAAGATGTCATGTGCATGAAAGAAAAAGGAATTTTGAGCCCACATGGTACAATTTTTCATTCACATTAGATAATGCATATGACATCTAATAAAGAAGATAAAAAAGGAACATCTCTTTGTTGAAGTCAAATACACTTACATTTCAAAGAAGAGAAAAAGGATTTGCAAATTTTGCACTTTGTCTGGAGGGTGCTATTGTATATATTCAGTTAATCTCATTTAACAGGCCCAATTTTTTTTAGTTCTCTGGCATGATAACAATTTCTTTCTAGTGTTATTTAATTTAAATTTTATTTTCTTTACAGTTGATGCCAAGTTTTGTGCTTTTTTGATTATCATCCGTAAATGATGAGGACAAGGTGGGTGTTAAAAGGAACAGATGATAAATTGCAAGCTATCCATAAAATTGCAACTTCTAATTTATGTGAAAAATTGAGGTAGGTATGTAGACCAACGTTTAAAAAACAACCAACAAAAGAAATAAGAACTTTCAACAAAGTTGACTCTTCTACTACTTTCAAACTGACAAAGCATCCAACAAATCCTACTGAGTAACATGGAGCAGACTGCTTAGTCTTTCTGAATATAATTTCTAGATAATTTCTAGATAATTAAGAGAATTAGATAATTAAGCTTAGGAATCCAAATTTGTGGTCAAGACCATCAGTTTCATATAATAAAACAGGAAACACACAAACAACCCCAACATTTTCCAGTCAGCAATTTTTATCCACTGGAAAAGACATTGACTGGTTTATAGAATTCAAAAGAGGACTATCATTTAAAAGTGTGAGGAAATCAAAACAAAGAATGACACATAGAAACCCCCCTAGACAAGTGAGAAAACACTTCATAGAAGTATGACATAAAGTTAGAGAAAGACTGCTTTAGTCTAAATGATTCTCTGCTGTTTTATCCTGTAAGTGTACAGTGTCCAATGCAACAGGCAAATGCAGCCTTAACAGAATCAACAGCCTTGAAAGCTTTTATGCTTTTAGAGTGCAATGAGCTGTAATATAAAACAAGCTACTATAATGCAGAAAGGTAAAATGTTTTTGAGTGATACAACCATTTATGATGCCACAAATTTCATAAAAATTCCCTGA